AGTCACGTTAACGTTCGACACGATGACGCGCATGGCATTGCAATAAACCATGTTGTGCAGTGAACATCCGATGTCCTCTCACTTCAATTCGTCCTCTCGTTTTCACACCTGGCCGCGCGCCGCTTCCCCGTCGCGGTGCGAATGCCGAAATATTTCTTCATCTGTGGACACTACCTGGGATTCCTTGGTCTTCGCTAATGCGCCCTTCTGCGTGACAAGGATAGCGATACCCTCGCGTGTACTGACAAGGTCATCGACGGTGAGGCTTAGCAAAAGTTGATTAAGGATGTACCTATAAGCGTCGTAGCACGGGCATTCGAGAACCTGCTTCTGCGGCCGGGAGGCGACTTCGTATGGAAAGGCAACATCGAGCTCGGTGAGTACAAATTGATGATGATTATATGATTTGGTTCTATTTGCCCAGGAATGCATGGCCTGAATATAGCAGCTGAGGATATCGAGGAAGTGCTGCTGAGAACGGAGTTTCGGCCGCCGGCCGTCCGTCTGTTTTACCTTCTTCCATGCATCCAACCATTGGTGCAATGCGCCCTCTTGGGTAAGCCGCAGGGATTTCCGCTGCATACCTAATAGAGGAGTAGATATTGAGGGAGTGCTCGCTTCACACACCAACACGCGATCCAGTACAACCCTCGCGCGGCTTGAGGGCTTATCTCCAACACTCGGCAGACTTCCTGAACACGTTTCCGTAGTCGACGACCCTAGCCGGTATGGATATAGTTCCGCACGAGTGACTTGTCTGCGTCAAGCTGGTGTAAGAAGCCCAAATGAACGGCGTACTCGGCGATAAATCTGACGAGACTGCGTGAAATGCAACATTGTTCGCACAACGCCGTAGAAGAAAGCCTAACGAACTGGTCTGAGAGGCGCGAGCAGCACGCCGCGTGCGAGTCTTGACAACAAAGGCGAGCGCAACAATGATGCCCTGAACGTTCGCGAAGTAAGCCAATTCGGTTAGCTAGTGGATTAGGCAAATACCGGATAAAGAGGCCCAAGAAGCTGGGTACAAAGCAAAGCAAAAGCGTCTGTCAAGAGTCTTCTGGAAGAGGGACAAAGGAACGAGCACGTCACCTCAGCACGCGGAACCCCTAGCTTCATCGATATCGCGCCACATCTATGACGGCCCCATCTCTGCCCAGACGGGTGACAGTGGCGAAGGCTGTCGATGCGCAAATCTGACAAAGCGCATGGCCACGATCAGTAGAGTAACTTGTGTATTAAGTGAAGCCAGCCAATTTACACCGTCTGTTCTCCAACAAAGCCTACATTTTCCTAGCCTGAGTATGCCGTGTAAGCCGGCGCCTTCAAACGTAGTCAAACTTGCCTTTAGAGGCGCATGGTATACGTGGGCACGTGGAGCGAAGTCTGCCTGCCTTCGCATCGTTCTCCTGAATAACTCCGCAAAAACCATCGCGAGGCCCTCAGTAAATGTTGTGGAGTCACTTTCTTGGAGCACTCTAACTTCCTTTGCAACACGGTGATGCGAGTTTCACAGGACGTAGCATGGGCACTGTCTGCCTGATCATGAAGGCATGCCTCTTGCTGATCGACCGGTGTGCACGAGAAACGAGGATTCGTCGGTATTCGTACGCGAAGTTATGTTGGCTTCTGTAACGATGCTGAAGTCGCCTCACAGCTCTCTGCGTAGTCGAATTCATCCATGGGTCAGTTGATGAGGCTGTACGCCGTTAGTATGTGTCCTCGTGTCTCATCCTTTGTTCTACAGTTCCGAGGAGCTTAGATTGTTCGGCATTCTCGGTGGCTCTGTGGCAACAATCTTCTCCACAAAGGGACACGCGCTTGTTGTCTTTCTCATTGGCCTCAAATAGCTCTGAAGTTCCGCCATCGTGCGCGTTGTCCGTAGGCACGGTAGCTAGCTCACCCCCTCCCTGTCTGTGTTGATATTCAAACATAGCCTAAGCTTCTCGAAATAACCTGATATCTCATTCGCTTACGTCGACGGCCATCTCAAGCGACTATCCTTACCTCCGTTCTGCATCCATGGCATTACCTCTTCCTCCGACCAATTCTAACTGCCTCTGTTGTGGCGAAAATTGTGAAAGTTTGCGCGCATGGTTACAGTACCAAAACAAAGTCGAGGAGTGTTTACAGCAATTGGCACTTAATCAGCACCAGACTGTACGCTCATTGTTTCGATCCCCCCCCCCTCCCCCCTGGTAGCTGTTTTTAAGAGGAGTTAGGCTTCCTTCTGCAGCAATTGCTCCCGTATACAGAAGGAGTACCAAACCGAAATCGATCGCTTGTCGGAGGACAAGGCTAAACTTGTCAAGGTCATTCAAATATTCAGATGACGGATGCTCAGACTGACCCATGGAATAGGATCTATATCAGCGTCAACAATACGTTGACGGTGTAGAGAATAATTATCGGGCTTCGCAGGGCATTGAACCCCATAACACTGTGCCCAGCATTGATTGCGTGGCTGATGACAAACATTTGAGTGTGACTTCCGGAGTGGAGTTCTCAACGGATATGGCAACGAGATCCGAACAAGTGGGAGGTTAGTAGTGTCTTTTTCCTCCTCGAGTGATTACTCAGCTGAATCAGCAATGGGAAACGACCTCTGTAATGACGGCATGGAAGACGAACCGGACTGTGCGAGCACCGCTGGCGGTAGTGAGACGACAACAAGAAGTACGTCAAAACCTCGTCGATAAGCCGCAGAGTGATAACACTCTGTCATCTAGGCTTTGGTAAGGTCCTTGTCGGCATAAGATCGGCGGCAGTCTGCTGGAAATGTACGTCCTGAGCTTGCCCTAGCCATCTCTCCTGACATCCCATCCCAGCAATTGTCCAACGTGCAACGTGTGCAGCTCGCCTGTCCTCCTTCCTCGCGCTTGATGTCATTCTATCAAAGCTTGAAGCTAATTCTGGACTGACTATAAGAGGACGCGCCGTTATCATATCTCTTACACTGCTCCTAGGTTTGCTTCTCTTATACACTTCTTGTTTTACACAATATATGCAGGGAGATAGTAGAAGTACACACATAGATCGTCCTGCTTGGTCATACTACATCACTGAATAATTACGGACCTTTAACTTCTGTCTATGAAAACATGGACTTCGTAACCAGGCGGGATGTTACTGTCAGGGCAATTAACGATAGGAATCTGTGGCTGGATGTTCTGCGGGCGCGCCTGTCCTCGTGGTCCGCGATGGAGAATCCGTGAGGTCGAACTCACGGGCGAGCTCGGAGCCCAAGACGCGTACGGCTTCCGGGATAGAGACCCACTTGGAGAACCCGCAGGCATCGCACTATGCTCGCAGTCAGTAATAGAAAATATTGCATATAAAAACAGCAACTTACGACACGACAGAGGAGGCCACGGTGCAAGGGATTGTTCTTGTCCTTGCACTGGAGTGCCTTCGGGGGCAGTCGACCTTCGGGCTATAGGCCGTGATACGAGCCAGGAGAGTGCGCAGAGATTGTTAAGCCATCGAGATAGAGTAGCGTTGCGAGCTGGGAACGTAGAGAGGACGGGGTAACGCGGTGTTCGGGTTCAGAGAACGTGGGGGTCGTGTTCAGTCACGGGCGGGCGGCGAGACCGGAATGATCGCGGGGTATATAGCGCGGCGCGCGTAGAGGAGAAGATTGTCCAACCCCCCCCACCAGAGGTAGCGACCGATGTTCGCTGATGGGAAAGAGACAGCGTGACGGGCTGACGGGAGAGAACGTGGCTGCGGCAGCTGACAATATTAGAGGCGGCGGCGCGCCATGTTTTTATCACGCGAGCGCGAATGGCTAAGGAGCGATCTCTGGCGTGACAGCCCGCCACCGTGACGACGGTGATCGTGTAATACTGGGAATCACGCTTACTTCTCGTATTTTCTTGCTTTGAAATATCTCGTAGTCAACATCGGACGGCACCGAAGTCTGTAGGCTGTCTCTGCCGTTGCCCTCAATACTTCATCGATCATGAGAGCGTGCGCGACGCTGAATCCGAGTTTGCGGGTTGGAGAAAGAGTGGTGGAAATCGTCATAGTGTTGCCGCGAGTCGACCGTATAGAAGGGGACGTAGGCAAGTGCATTACGGTGGGTTCCAGTATGGGTATAGGTTGACGTGGAACAACTGTGACAGGCGGCGCTTGCGGCACAGGTATGAAGCTGGGGCAGCGACGGAATAACAAGTGTGAAATCTGGGGTCGGTGTCCTGGTATCAGGGAAGGGCATTCTACGATAGTCAGGCCGAGCTTGAAACAGTCTGTGGAAATCCTTCCGGCAGGACTTGATGAGGCACACGCCAGTCACCTGGGCTCCAGGTGTAAGTACCGGAGGCGGCGGAACAATACCACTAACTGGCAAAGCAACTGCCACTGAAGTTCCCTGCGCATCACTATATCAACCGACGCAGGAAGCAGACGACTTACCTTGAGGTTGCCTAACCGGTAGCGCACGGTATACGTGGTCGCCAAGTTCGCGTAGCCGGGCATGTCTCCCTCGACGGTCAAGAACATCTTACGATAATCAACAATTTTTAAGTCAGTCAAATAACTCACTATCTCTTGCCCCTGATCAATAGAAGCCACTGTAGCATTTCGGTTGTCCTGGACAAAAGGATATTAGCCTCAAATAACAGGTTTCAACTCAAGACACTTACCCGCGAAGCTGTCCACCGACTCGTTCCATGTTGGAGGCAATTGCAGCACCGTCTAGAAGAGAAGATGTTTTCTCGAGCCAAAAGCAGTAAGCACAATAACTTACCGGTGCAGTAGCGAAAGGAACAAAGGCGGATGGCGTTCCTGCCGATCCTGGTGTTCCAGTAAAGACACCAGGGGGTGGCACTGCCGGAGCGCTATGGCGATGTCGTGAGTCATCGTCACCTAGATCTGGTGGGAAAGATTCGTGTAAAAAGTCTGGGTATAATCAGGGGTGCACAAAACTCACGGATGGACCAGTGTGCCATCCGTCCGAAAGATCTGCACGACCCGCACGATCACCAAGCACCCTGTCCAAGAAATCAATATCGCTTGAGGACGAGGTTGACGACCGCCTTCCGGTCCAACACGGCCTGTCGGTACGACCGGAGGAGGATATTGTCCTTCTCCTTCAGCTTCAGAGGGTGGAGGACCGAATTGCGGTGGCCGTGCAGCACAACGTCGATGTGGTTGGAGAGGAGCGCGAGGGGGTACAGGTTTTGAGATAGATACAGTACCAGGACGTGGAGGAAGATCCGCCTCGAAGATCGGACTGAAATCTGGGGACGAGATGCTCCAGGTCCCGGGTGGTGCCAGAGAGGAACCAAGGGAGGTGGTTCTTGCACCGGGGGCTGTGGAGGAGGACCGGCTGCCATTAACTCCGCAATGTGTTCGTCGAATGAAGGCCCAGCACGACGAGGAACGGGCGCTACTACAGGTGGTGTCTCTATGCTCGCCCTATCGCCCTGGGCCATAGTCCGAGCTAGGTGCTCCAGCAGCGATTCATCCGAAGGACAAACAGACTCTGAGACGTCATCGCGGAGAGAGGGTCGTTTGCTTGTTGAGCCAGGCCAATTAGGCATTGAAGAGTTTCTTCCACTACGCGAATCTTGTCACAGCAATCCTACCAACGCTGCTCCATTGGTCTGTTGCGTAATTCATCCAATCCACGATTGGTAGCATCTTGACCATGCGATAGACCGTCAACTTGATCCCGGATGCCTTCCAGCATAGCCCGGAGTTGACCAAGGTTGAGAGCAGGTACGGGTCGAGCGGTGTCGCTGGATGACAATGACGGAGATGGAGACGATGGAGACGGCGCAGGAGATGAGGCGGTGGTGTCGCAGATGAAGCCAATGGCATAGGAGCAGGGAACGCTTTTAGTACAGGCTCGCTAACATCGGACAAATACGCTAATGAAGACCGAGATCTCACGGAAACCGATGATGAATGTTATGGTGATTCTGGGGAGACTGGAATCAGACGGCCAGGACGGTGAGGCAACGCGCACCGCATACGTCTCCAACTCGAGCAGACTAACATCATCGGAATGACGAGACGATAGGAAGGACAAAACGTCGCTCTCAGATGACTCCGGGAACGAAATTCTCACAGGATCTTCCGGTATAATTGTGGCCCTCACACCGACTCGGGTGAGACCTCGTGGTTCTGCTGGAACTGACGGGTTGCGGAACAGAGACGACTATGCCTAGGCTAACTGCCGAGGGCGGAGGAGGAACCATGCTGACTTCGAATGACGAACGAGGAAAATAAATAATGCTGCTCCCTCCTACCGATCTATCCTTGTGAGGAACTGGGGTAGGCGTCCCAGGAGGACAAACTTGAAGAAGGTAGTCAGCAAGGTCTGCCATGTCTTCCCTGAGCTGTTGGACGTTGTCCGCTGACACTCTGTTCTCCTCTCCTCCAACTGCGTCAGCATCATGCAACTATTGCAACAAAGGGTTAACGTCGTGAGTCAAAACCGCCCTCGGAGCCTCAGACAGAATCGTCTCTGGAAGGCACCTCTCGGTGGAGGTGGCGGTGAAGGCGAAGGCGGCAGGGGTATCCACATGGCGACACCTGAGAAGAAGATCAGTCGAGAGCGAACAGTAAACGCGTGATTAACATACGGGTTTCTCACTAGGACCGGTGGTGGTGAGCGAGCTGTAGAAAGGAGAGATGGCTCCGTCGAAGGCGCGATAATGGACGGCACCCCCAACACAGTGAACGCGTACCAAATATCGATCGACGAGACGGAGGAACGTGAACGTGAAAGGGTCATTACTGATTCAGCGGATATGGGCGTGGGAAATGGGACACTCGGAGAAAGTGATGCGTTAGCCGGTGTGGGGCTCAACGGCGGCGGCGGCGGCGTAGACACGACAGACGCCGGCCTCGGTACTTATCTCCGTTATGCAGGTCTGATTCGGCCCACAGCGAGACTCGGGAATTGCGGGGCTGGATAGCGTCGGTAGTTGCTCGATCGTGGACGCGACTGTGGACGCGACTGCAGATGTGAGCATACTTGAGGGCGTAGGTGTCACAGAAGGCTCTGTAGGTCTTGTCACAGTCGATAGAGATAAGGTAACGATTCCGACGGAGGAATCGGAGAAGGCAAAGGAGTGGACTCAGTAGAAGACGATATTGGGACTTCAGTTGAAGGAGTAGGGGCAGGTGAAGCTGTGCAGGTTTCAGGCGGAGCTTCCAACAACTCCCTCGAAGCTACAGAGGGGCTGTCTGTTGACGGTGGAATAGGGATATCCTCCGAGCCCGGCGTCAACCTCTCCGGCTCTAGCGGGAGTAACCCTTCCTCTCCTACTGCCCTTCAGCTACGCTTCCGGTATCGTTGGAATCCCCGAAGGGGGTACGTCCACACCTAAGACGTCCGCGTAGACACCTGCCTCCTCAGTAGCATACTCGGTAGAAGCTTCCGTCGAGCATACCTCTGCGGTAATATTAAGTATTCGCGGGGGGGCTCCGTGCGATATTCTTTGACGGTCTCGTACTCAGATCCGGGCTCAGCATCAAGCTTGGCAGAGGTGCAATTCCTCTCCAGGTCAAGAGATCTGGCAGGACAACAAGTCAGCACGCAGCTGCGCCGGAGCAGGCAGTGGTCATGTATTGTTGGCTTTCGCACTTCCCGGGATGGTAGCTGCAGAACGTGGATGTCGCAGATGACCGCGGTCGTACGATGGGAAAAAAAACAGATAGAACATCACTCGGATACGTTCAAAAAGACGAGTGGTCGCCGCCGCCGCCGTGTCGCATGAGTAAAAATTCCTGCCATGCTTCAATAACGGATGGCCTCATCGGCTGCGCACGTGAAAGACCTGACAGCCGGATGAGCCTTGCTAATCACAATGCGCTCTAGTGATTCTTACCTGCACTCCGTAAGGTGACGAAACGCAGAACAACTGCGGTAGATCGACATACGTATAGCGTTGGACACAATGGCGCCAAACATGTTATCTGCACCGAGTGAGCACTCATCGGAATTAAATGTGTTCGTGTCCAACTTACGAGTATCGTACTCTGTGAGACCATTCGAATGCGCCGCGTTTGTCTACCCATCGATCGAGTCAGCTCTTCTCTCGGGTCTGTCCAAATCACCTCACTTACGTAGGACGTCCCGTTCGACAGCGCCCCCCGCAGCATTGTTTATGGCGTACGGATTGAGCAAGTTGTAGCTACTCGTGTCGGCCCTCTTCCGTATCGGATAGGTTCCGATAGCTGAAGTTCGGAGTATTGGGGTCCGAAGGAACCGCCATCAGCGCAGGTGGAAGGCCCTGTACCTCAGCCTGACCGAAGGGGTCGTCACACGGCTAGAGGCAGAGCTACAATCAAACAAGAAAATAGTGCTACGTCAGATATCTGGGAGTGAAGGAAACGAACGACGAACGTTGAACGGCTCGTTCAGGCCGATCCAAGCACTTGGATGTCGAGACCCGTCTCGGTGTTGTAGAACTAAATTCGTACAACCAGAAGCTAGTTTACTGCGTGAGCTCAAGTACGGTGAAACAGAAGGCATTGCATACTCTTGTGCAGCGGTTTGAACCAGTCTGAAGCGATAGCAGTTGTCTACCATGTGATGGAAAAAGCTCGACAAGTGCCGGAGAACCTGCGAAATGAGATCACCGTCCATACCAGACCACCCATATATAAGTCGTCACCTTTCGCCGCCCTGAGCCAGACGTCGGCCGCAGTTCCACGATCGAAAGCATCATATCCTTCTGGACAGGTATGCAACAGCAGGGTCAATCATCATAGCTGAGACGCGGATTAGCAATTGAATAAGTATGCGAGAGCGATCGATCGCCTACGCACCATGATGCTGGTCGTGAGCAGCGTGGAGATAATTGAGCCTCGGCAGAGGGAAGTAATCTGGGCCAAGCATGAAGGCCCGACACTCGTACACGTAGTCTTACACGACTTGACGACGGAGGACGAACAAAGTAAAGGTGAGGCTGCTGCATTCGACATGGGACGTTAATGAGAGCGTCGACTGCATTACATGCGCCCCCTTGTTTTTTGTGAAAGACAAGCTTACGCACGCGCCGCAGAGACTAACGCCATGGTGGAATGACGAAGAATAGGCAGGCACTAGGGACAGCGTACGCGTGGCAATATTTGGGCGCCTGTATGCTGTTCAAAGTGTACGATTATTATTTTACATACACACGCGGGTGCTTTAGTATTTTTTCGCGCGACCCATATTTATTCGCGCAACAACATTTTGCATACACGCACAGATTGCAGCCATTTTTCAATTACACACAGTATATTCTCAATTACATGCATGCTTAGAATTTCTCTCACTCACGTTCTAATCACTTATTTTTTTGCCAAGATGGCTGCAGAACGACATACAGGTCACCTGACCACGTAGATAAGATAGGAGATTGGCCGCTCTGTGACCACAGAGCGCTGGTGGGCCGCTCGGCTGTACATGAACTTTGCCTGCACAATTTCTACGGTTTTCATAAGCTAGTAGACATTCAGATCCTGTAATCTATGCTTCAAAGAAGAAATCTGACCCAGCTCTCCATAGTCACTGTAGGTGAGCTATTCTCTTGACATTTGCCGGCCTGTGGCACTGAATGTGTCCACACTCGCAGACCATCCAGAAATTTCCTCAGTAAGGAGCACGAGCCTGCCTAACTTACTGACATAGCCGAGAAGATGCCCTACAGCAGCAGCGCGCAGCGTACGGACCCCGAAATTTACTTTATGAATTACTCGCTCAATTTCCCGTATCTCATTTTCTTCACAGTTCGTCTTGTCCAAGAGAAAAGGCTGAGCGGTCCTCCCAGCTGTCTTCCACTGCCCGCACGCCACCGCCTCACCCACCGTCACTCCGGAAGCTGCATGCACCCCCACTTCCGAATCCCAAAATCACCCGTATCGCAGCCATCTCCACTGCATATGGAGGCCGATGCTGATGAATTCTCCTCCCGCCTCAAGATCTCAGCAGCTTCCTCCCGTGCCTCACATTCAAAACCACACCATGCGAGAGGAAGCAGCCCGAGCAGGGTGTTGTACAACCCAAAGGCGGACCCGATTCGCAAACCGGTCAGACACTATCTCGGACAGCGATTCGAGTTCATACGCGCCTCGTCGACCTACCGGACCTCCGCCGCCGCCACGGACTCACCAGCAGGGTCAGCAGTTGCGGACTGCGGATGACGGGCATCCACAGTTATTCGACCACAGATTCAACCACAGAAAGGACGATCCTGTCCGGTTCTCTGTCCTTATGCATCCGCATGCGTCCCCGAATGGGGAAGTGCTTACTCACTCCGTGACATCCCGAGTCTCCTGCAGTCCCTCCATCCCGCTTCGATGCCGCTGTAAGTTCGGAAATTGCGCAAGAATATCTCGAGGTGACCAACCTTACCTCCCATATATGGGTATGCACTAATCATGTGTTCGTGACAGGATTTCATTTACTATGCATACATGTTCTACACGGGGCTTCTCGAGGAGCACAATCTCGCTGAGTTTCGCTCCGATTGGGCACTCGGTGACCTCGCCCACTACCGTATGGCGATGGTGGTCGGCTCACCGTTTCTGCAATTGCTACAGCTTCTGCAATTGCAGCGAGCCATTCTCTTGACACTCCTTGGCCTGCTACACCTAACGCATCCACATCCCGAGATTCCCTCGGTGAAGCGTGTCTCGCCAACGCCCGCCGCAAACGCCCGCAGCGCGCATCGATTACTCACCGCAACGGAGAAGGGTGCAGCACATCGATCACAGCGAATCATATCACGCTGCTATATTGAATGGCCAAGCGGCTGTCCATATTTGTTGGCAAGAACATACATCGGCCTATAAGATGCAGATCTGGGTATAATCGATTGCAGGGTAATACCGCCAATCGTCATATGAGTGAGGAGATTATACCAAGTCTGCTTGATCTTGCTGCGGCGGTCTAGATGATGTGAATGAGCTGCTGACTGAAGGAGCGCCGCCTCAGTTGAAAGTCCGACACCGACTGTAGCGCTATGACTCCCAGTCATGTCGCTCTTGGTGGTTACTGGTCACTCGTTGGCAGTGAAATAGATTCTTCGGTAAGACAGAGTAGGGCAGTTTTGGAATGAGAATATGATTTAAACGATTGTATCCAGAAATCTTACTATTGCCAAATTGACAACAGGCTCCTCGCTGGTTTGAAGAGCGCCCGGACCGGATGAGTGGAATTCTGCATACTGCATCATGCCGTCGGCTGACCAGCGGCATCGTTTTGGTGGTAGGTTGACAACGAACTACGGCAACCTCCCAATACTACGATAATTCATCCTTTGGCAATGCACCAGCGACACCTTTGCGCCCTCGCTAAATTGGTGCTGAATATTGCACACCTCGAAGTCGAGATGTCGGACAAAATTGCGATCATATCGCGTGTTTTGGCGGTCGCTATTGAACATGAAAGCTCTGGTATGGTCAACTTGCTTTCGTCAGTTTGCCTCTGCTAATTATTCATCTGCTTCGTTGGCTGAAGTAGTTGAGATGTGTTCTGTTGATGATGCACTTTCGATATGGGTAATCGAAAATGCCTTCGCTCTCTCTTTGAATACTCACAATACCTATCAGTTTGACTCGGAAAGAGGTGTAGGCCATGTGGGCTACCCATCCACCTCTGGGCAAGGATATCCCCATTCATACTCAGCAATCCTTCGCTCTCTGGATGCTATTCCTGCACGTGCGTGCCCGACGCTGGTGGGCATCTTGCTATTTAATACTCGTTATCCAGCTCCTATCAAAGCCAAAACTGAGATGTGG